GACAGCCAGGGCTACACAGAGAAACTCTATCTCAAAGACAAAAACAAAAAACAAAAAAGTAAACAAAGGAATAGTACAGGGCTAAAAAGACTGGTTCATAGCTAGAGAGCTAGAGCAGAAAGCTAAAGCTGATGCCTACATTTCAAAATGCAAAAGCAGGAGAAAGGGACAGTAAGTAGGTTCAGCAGCAGAGATTTAAATAAAAGATCAAAGCATGGTAGCTAGGAGGGACAATGGAACCTAAACAAAGGAAATTTTAAAGATCCTTTCTGTATACATCTGAACAAGAGAAAAGAGGTACACCAAGTCAGATGGCAGTGGGAAGGAAAGACAGCAGCAAAGGAAATGTGTGTGGAGTGCTGCACTAGAAGACAGGCATCTCTGAGAGGTGATGGAAGAAACAAGCAAGAATGCAGGCCCACGGGCTTGTGGGAAGAGCAAAACACTGCTGCTGCTCTGAAGACAGCTTCACCTTCCCTCGATGGAAGCAACGCTTCTCCTGGTATTTCCTCTCACTCATTTAGGCTGGGTCTTTTTGGTGAATAATTCATGTTGGAAAGCTTAACCCAACAGCTACTAGACAAAGGAGTCAAGAATAAGCTACCAACTTTTTCAACATGGCGTTTGGGAGAAACTGGGAACACTTTAAGCTATTCAGAGAAGCCTGTCTGATTAAGACCCATTCTCGGGTAGGATCGGGGTGCATGATGTGAAAGACACAAACAGAAAGTTTTTAAATAGAGATCCATTCTCTCAGGCCATGCTGCAGTACACCATTTTCCAGTTCAGGGATGTCTGGCAGCTGGTGGAGATAGATGTCTATCTTTGAGTGACAGGAGCGGCGGTACATGGTAGCGGAACTGATCCTAAGAAATTCCACTTCCTCTTCCTCTTCTTCCTCATCCTTTCCCCCAGCTAAGCAGAGTTCTCAGTGTTCTGAGAGTTCCAAGAGTTCTAAGGGTCTGAGACCCTTTACTGCTGCTCTATGTCATTTAGCTCCACCAGGAGAAAGACCAAAAAGCTGGCTTTGTTTTTGTTTTCCTTTTCTTTGTATTATCTGCCCAGGCTTGCCACAGCTATCTCTCTGCCTCTGCTTCCTGGTGTTAGGACTACAGGCATGCACCCCCTCACCCAGCTCCAAGCTCTTTAATAATCAGAATCCACTTCACATGCCTTCTGTTCTTAACACCCACTCTCAAAACACCAACAAAGCTGCTTAGTGTCACGTAGCATCTGTGTTGTATAACCGAGACCTCCCTGGCTGGTAACAAGGACAGTCCTTTCTTAGGCTCTAGGACAACCCCTTATGTTATATCCAAGGTCATGAACAAAAATGGCAGGTCAGTCACAAACAATGTTGTGTGTGTGTATGTATCTATTCATCCACCAAAAATGAATAGTATATTTTTGTAACTTTGACATAAAAACAATATTGCATTTCTCTTGCGAATGTTTCATTCCTATAGAATGATATAAAATAGAGTCAGCTTCATTTAAAAAATAAGTGGTTGAATTTTAAGTAAGAATGTGTAGGGCTTATTTAATTCATTGGAATCTTAGTAACGTACATGAAATCAACAATTTGCTACTGTGTTCTGTCATGGCCACATTGCTACTTTCAAGTTTTCTTCCCTTTTCTAGTAAGTGTTTCACATATGAAAATAAATTGCAAACTCAGATGTTGTTATGAAAAAATAGAAATTCTTTGACTTGAAAAAATGCTAGGAACAGATATTTGTATTATAAACTATAAATGATACCCTGGTATATTTACACAAAAGAGTTAAAACCAAAGACTCTGCTTGCTTATTAAAATGCAAACATTACCTCAGTCATACAAATAGCCCCAAACTCGCCCAGTCTCTGCCTCTGCAGATCACCCACCAGCAACAGCTTACCTCATATGACATTACGGAACAATAGTGAACTCTGTAAGAGTTGAATATATTGTTTTGAAAGAATAAACTGTCATTAACTTGAATAAAAGCTTTCTGAAATCAAACCTGGCGGGTATAGCCTTCACTGGGTGGCCTTTTTTTTTTTTTTTTTTTTTTTAACTACTTTAAGAAACTGCCTCACCCTGAAAGCAAGCAAGGCGGGGAAGAGAAGGGGCAGTATAAAGGCAATAGTACTGAGTTGCCAGCAACTCCTACAACAGCCCAGCAGGCAGGGGCCAGAGATTTAAATTACCAGGAAGAACAATGTCAAAGCAGGAGGCTCTGCAAGAAATTTGGCACCTAAAATCCAAACAAGCTCTCTCTCTCTCTCTCTCTCTCTCTCTCTCTCTCTCACACACACACACACACACACACACACACACACACACACCTCCCTAGGATAGCTGTGATTTATAGAACAGCTTGTGCTACAATGGGAACAAGTTCTTCTCCATGGTTGGTATGTCCCAATACCTTCTGAAGAGGGGATACTGATACAGCCAGTGATATTAGGCCGGGAATTTAATGTGAATCCCAATGTTTAAATCTCTCGTAGGGAAGTACTGAGGGGAACTGGACACATCATTGTCTACTCAGTTTTCCTGTTGCCTGTCTTTCCCAATCGCTGTCCAAGGGGTTTCTTGCTTACAGATGACACACAGCATCTGCAAACACTCACTGCCTTGTGGTTGTGCCTGTGGTCTGAGCACAGCTTCACACCGCCATTTCCAATCACGTGAGCTCTCTAACTTCCTTTGCCGAACCCAGGTAAGTACTCAGAGTCACCTGGCCCTCCCCAGCTTTCCTCTCCGCTGTACCAGCTCTCGATGTAGTACAGCCTGGTTACTAAGGTAACCAAGTCCAGGTGGGCACTTACTTGTATCACAATTACCATTCATGCTCCCAGTGAATGACCTTCACTCCCGGTAGCTTCCCTTCATCCCAAGTTGTCTCCTAGGTGCTTTCCCTACTGGTCGTTTATTCTCACGTGAATCATGTCAAATGATTAAACACCTCATCCTAGAAAATTTTTATAAATATCTCAAATTCTAGTTTGCTTTTAGTATTACCCTAGGGCGAAGAAGTCAAGAATAAGTCACAGAAGACCAGTGAAGGACTAGAAGACTTTGGGGACTGAGAAGAAGGAGTTGACAGGAAGCAGGCATGTGGAAATTGACGGTGGACAGTACTCCAGCAGATCCAGGGAGGGCAGAGTGTGGAACATCAGTATCTGTTATGTTTCTCAAGATTGGGCAAATTTACATGAAGGTGGAATTTCATTTGGAAGGCTGACTTCTTTGGAGAATCACGCTACTTTTCAGAATAAGGGAAAGGCATGAGCAGATGGGTAAGCAGCAGAATGTAATCCACTCTTTCGTAAGAGTAGAGGGGTTACCAAAGTCTAGCCTGGTGGCCAGAACAGGGGAGAGTGAAAGTGTAAATGGTCTCCAGTGTACAGCAGATAATCGCTGGGAAGAACACAGCATGGAATGGTGTAATTCGAGCGAAGACACTTCAAGTGCAGTCTCTATCTGCCAGATGTCTGATCTTGTACACATCACTAAAACATGAAAAAATAGTGTGTGTACATATGGGGGGAGCAGGGTACATTTAATACAGATAACTATATAAGATGCTTTACTAGAGCCAGCTTGCTCTTGTCTGGGTGTTTGTCACCTCTAAAGTTCATTTTGAAACTTACTCCCCACAAATCACAGGCTAATGGGGTTTGCAGGCGGGACCTTTGGAAGGTAATCAGGATGGGATGTGGTCATGAAGGTGAAGCCTTATGATTGCATGAATGGCTTTATTTGATGAGAAAGAGAGATCAAGTTAGCGCTTGCTCAGCCGTGTGAAGTGATATCTCCCTTCAGGACATGACCCAGCAGGGAGACTCTCAGCAGATGCCGAGAGGATACCAGAGCTATGGTCTTCATCGTGAAGTGTAAGGTAAATTAACCTCTTTTCTTTATAAATTTCTCAGTCTGTGGTATTGTTATAAAAAATGAAGAAAGATGCAGGTTACGTAAACCACAACCTTATTTATGCTCATTATTGCTTAGGTTTTGTTTTGGGTGTTTTTGTGGGAGTAGAGGCAGAGAATCTGAGGAACTCATACAGCAGAAGCACTGTTCAGTTAACAGAAAATCATTCCCAGGAATAGGGAGACCCTGTTTCAGAAAACAAGGTGGATGGCTCCTGAGAACAACACTGGAAGTTGACCTACAGCTTCCAAACATGTACACACACAACACTCTCACACACAAAAGATAAACAAAATAAACTCCACTTAATGGAGACACAAAAACAACAAAGTTATGGTCTTCATATAAGCACCTTGAAGTATGCTAATCGGGTAGGAAATCTCTCCTCTCATAAGCATACTTTTCTCTCGTGTAAAGCAGTTGCCAGAATTAATCACCAGTGCACCAGTGGTGACAGAACCTTTCTAGGAGTATAAACTAGTCAATCCATACCACAGTCTAGATCACAAATAACGAAAACCTTTTCATGGAATTAAACCAGTCAACTGAAGGACTACCTCTAGTAACACCAGTTCATTCATTAAAATACTTGATCCTTGTTTTATATCAGTTCTATCTTGGGGGCTGGACTTCAATAGTGGAAGAAACAGAAAGTTCCTGTCATCATGGAGCTCACATACTAACAGAAAAATAGACAGTAAACTTACTGGGCTGGCAAGATGGCTCAGTAGGTAAAGGTGCCAAGCCTGATAACCTGACCTGATCCCCAGTACCCACATGATGGCAAAAAAGAACACACTCACAAAAGTTGTCCTTTGACCTCTATATGCAAACTGTGACATACACATACATACACAACAAATAGACACGTAAAAATGTTTTCTATTTTACAATAGGTCAGAGGTGATTAGGTGCTACAGAAAAAAAGTCAGGGAAAGAGACTCCACTTTCAGACAGAGCAGTCAAGGAAGACTTTTCAGAGACGATGCCAAGGCATACAGATATGTGGGGAAAGAGTCATGGGGCCATATATAAACCTCCCCGGCAAGTCCAGGTAACACAAAGTATAACCTCTCACCTTTTAAAAGGGGCTGGAAGGTTGGGATCTCTTGCAGCTTGATGACATCAGGATCATTGCTGACATTTCTGGAGGCCTGAGAGCCCTGAGCTACAACCACGATATCATCCATCTTGGCCCGATGTTTCGCTGGAGATGGGGTCACTGCAAAACAAGTGACACAGATCAGGAACTGCATGGTGGAGAGCCACCACTGCCCACCACCAACACAGCCACCAGAAAGAGTAGTTCACACGACATACAGATTTTCTGATCTTAACATACGTGCTTCTTGTCAAAGCCATCCCTATTTAAAATGATAAACTATTTCTTCTGAGAGTAGTACTGGCTGCTTTTTGTCTTTGAAATGTTGAAGTGGATTAAAGTTTAATAACAAAACAAGAACAACAACAAAAACAAAAGGAAATGCTGGTACGGTGGTGCATACCTTTAAACCCAGCACTTGGAAGGAAGAAGCAGGCAGATATCTGTCTACATAGTGAATCCCAGGACAGTCAGAGCTACATAGTAAGACCCTGTCTATAAATAAATAAATAAATAAATAAATAAATAAATAATAAAACTAAATAACAAAAGACTACGAGGAGATGTAATTCAGCTGGACATCAACTGGACATGGTGGCTCACTTCTCCACACTCAAGGCAGAAATAGGAAGATAACAATTCAACAACAGGGTCTGGAGATATGGCTCACTGGTTAAGAACACGGTCTGCTCTTCCAGAAGACCCTGGTTCAAGTCCCAGCACCCACGTGTTGGTTCAAAACCATTTGTCACTCTAGTTCTGGTGGATCCAGTACCCTCTTATGGCTCCTCAAACACTACATATATGTGGTACACAGACAAGCATGCAGGCAAAACACCTAAATATATAATAATAAAATAATTTACAGCATTGGGAGCATAGGTAAGCCTAGACTACATAAAGCACTGTCTCAAAAGAAGAAAAAATGAATATTTTACATAAAAAAATGTCATTACTTTGTAGCGGGAGCTGGCATAGGTAGATTATAGGGAACTTCTCATTTCTTTTTTTGTGGTGCTAGGGATTGTAACCAAAGCCTCTCAAATATTAGGCAAGTGCCCTACCACTGAGCTAAGGCCTTAGCCTAAGAAATATACATATGCATGTGTATGTATATATACACGTATGTACACACATATATACATGTATATATATTAAAAAACCAAAACTTTCAAACATATAGAAACATATAACATGTATGAAATTCTTGAATGGCCAAGCATTTTGTTATTCAACACACAAATTTTTTTGAATGTCTCCTTTTTTGATTGTCCTGATCTCCCGATATATGCCCATAGTTTACAAATGAAGGAACAAAACTGTCTGGGACTTGCCCAAGATCAACAGCCCTAGAAACAGAATTAGGAAAGGCACTGAAGGTCTTTGGGACCTTAGTACAAAATCCATTCCTAAACCTCCAGTGAGTCTTAGTGCAGTATTAGTGCAAAAAGAACAGAAGCAATCAACAGGACCATTTCAGGCTGTGGCAACCTTCAGAAAATTGGAGGGCGCTTCAGAGGCATGTCAATTCCAGGTTCCTTGGGAGGGAAGGGGTTCAGTCCTCCAAGGATTCCCTGAACAAGACATCGCATCCAAACATTTCCTGGCTGGAACAAGAATGAATCCTGTAGAACCTGAAGGTTCTAGTATTCATAGGCTTGTATACTCAGGCTCTTCAGTCTGATCTGAGGATAGATACCACAGAACTACTCTGCCTTCTGGAAACTAGCCTCTCCTGATGCGTGGTGGTCGTCCTGGGGGCTGCACTCTGGGAGTGTGTGGGGGGGGATCTCTGCTACTTTTATTGCTTTTCAGAAACAGTTTATCCCAGCTTGGTAATTTATCTAACATTTTACAGAAGTAGTACCAAAGCATCTTTCCTGATACAAATTCCATGGTTCTCCTTTCCCCAGACTCCAAAGGGGATGTCAAAGCATTCTAGTTGATTTCTATTATTTCATGTATAAAATGGGTAAAGATGTGTGTAAAAATGGGGACACTATAAATACTGCACATAAACATGTGCAAGGCACCAGGCACAGGAGAGGATGCAAATACCCTCAGAAGTAAGCCTATGCTGTTGGTTCCTGGATGAGCAACAGGGCGCCACGCTCCTTCCCCTGAACTATGCTTCTGGCTGGGCATACAGGCAAGAAAGCACGAGATGGCCATTATTGCGGTTTTGTTATAAACAGACACGACACTCTGGGTCTTCCAAGGAAACAAAACACAGCAAAGCCAGTAGACGCAAGTTCCCAGACAGCAGGCCTCAAGGAATTGCCCTTCTGCATGAATCACCCCCGACACCTGTTAGCTTCCACATTTCCGCAAATGGTACCAAGCAGCGAGCCATTCTGAAAACTCTTTTTAGGTCTGAGATCTTAATTTAAAAGGCTTAGCAACCCCTGAGCTTACCTAGTGCAGTCTCAGAGGTTACCTAAGTGGGTAGGAAAAAAAAAAAAAAAAGGGACCAAATGGTTTTCGATCACAAGCTGTTTTATTGAGCGCTCACTAAAGGTCTAGCAAAATTCCCCTCCGATTCCTACCTCAAACTCTTAGAGAAATCTAAAAAATGATGACAACAGGAGATACACCAGACCCTGCCTGCCACCTGGTCAACTTCATTTTAAAAAGACAGACCCGACACCTGAATGGAAAAAGCAGTTTCTGGTAACATTTGCACGCAGCGCTCACAGGTCCCTTCTGAGAAGGACACCTCGTTTTTTTTTTTTTTTTTTTCAGAAAGCCTGATCTTAGAGGTCCTGGGAATTATCCATCCGCATGGAGCCAAATCTCGGCGTGAGTGCCGAGACCTGGAACCGACCATCCACGAGGTCGTCTTTTAAAGACTAGCGCGAAGGCGAGCGTGCCGGTTCAGGGGACCGGGCTGGGGCGGGAGGCCACGCCTTCTCTGTGTTCGGAAGCACGGTGGGCCCGCCGGCTCCGCCAGCAGCGCCCGGGCGGGAGGTGAGGCACCGACCTGAGGCGTTCAGATCGCCGGGGCGGCTCTCGGCCTCCGCGCTCTGCTCGCTGCCCATGGCGCCGGCAGCGGAGGGACAGCGGGGCAGGGGCCGGGGAGAGCCCGCCGGGCCACGGACACGCGGGGACGCACGCCGCTCGCCTAGCTGAGGGGCGCGCTGACAGGAGGCTCGGGACACCGGCGGGGCCGCGGCCGCGACCGGCGGGCGGCGCTGCTGTCATTCACTGGCTCAGACGCCGAAACGAGCTCCTTCCGGGACGCCGATTGGCCGCGCCGGCTACGCGTAGCCGTCAGTTCCGGGTTCGGAGGTTCCCGCCCCCAAATCCGAGGGGTGGGGCGCGGAGACGCGCGCTGGAGGTTGGGGCGGCTCTGCCTTAAAGGGCCAGGCCTCCTCAAAGCCAAAGGTGTCCAGAGGTGTGAAGCCCTTTCCTGCGGATCCTGATGATCTTCGAACAACTTTGCAAAATGAACTGAGTTTTTGCTTTTGAGATAGGGCCTCACACTGTAGCTCTCTGGTGGCCTGGAACTCTGGGCGATCCCCCTGACTCAACCTGGGATTATAGACGTGAAAATACTTAAAAATAAGTATTTTTAAGCCGTTTTACCAATGGAGAATAAAGGGGGTCTATAGACCTCCAATTTCAAACCACACTTGTACAGAAGCAAAGCTCTTTTTTAAAACTTTGGAAGCAGGGAGTTTAGCAGTGGGCAACCATACAGAAAATGCAAAGACACTGGGGGGTGGGGGGAGCGGGGAAGGAGCTAAAATTGAGAGAAAAACTGTTAGGGTATGCTGCTTTATTCTTGAACAGGAAGTGAATCTAGGCACTTCCTGAAGATTGACCGCTATTGACAGGTCATTATGGAACTGCCTATGACGAGGAAGATGTACAGATGATACAAGAAGGAAAATGCTTATGTGAGCAAATCGGGTATGCAGGCAGTAACCCGACGCCTTCAGGGGTTCTCTCAACTGCTTCAAGAAATTGCAAGCTCTAGTCTCTGTGGTGTGTGCCCATGTTGCTAAAATGCCTTCCCTATGGAAAATATAAATACGTCTACACCCTTCTACAGTTCTGACTACCATCAACCTTCATTTTGAGGATGAGTTTATTAGATGTAAAAGCAGCCGATATACTGGAAGTTCAGCACCCCACCCCTTAGGGTGTAGAGCCCCCACCCTTCACTCTCCACCTTTACACTCTAGTCCTCCACCCCCAAGGCCACTGGCAATTAAAGCAGAATTGCATACAAGTGGTTGGGATGAGTGGCTCCAAACTCAAGTGATGGTTCCCCATCCTCCTCAGCCCCTCTTTGCTTCCAAGAGGAAAGGTCATAGTCAGCAAGTCCAGCTGTGACTATCTTTGGTGAACAGGCACTGCTGGAATCCTGAAGACGACAGTACTTTGGATCATGGTCCTATTATCCAACACTCAGAGATTGGGGTGTTGGAAGCAAGAGGATCAGGGGATCAAAGTTGCACTTGGGTACTTATGAAGCTCAAGGCCAGTCTGGTCTACATGAGACCCTATCTAAAAATTGAAAAAAGAAAAAATAGAAGATGTCATAAGATTTTTGTGTATAAATATAATCCCAAGGGGACAAATTGACGGACTGATTTTTAACTTTCTTGTGCTCCCTATTTCATGTCATTTAACTTTCCCAACTCTAAGGTCAACAAATAGTTAATTTCCAAAGGTAAGAAGTCGGATGATTTGGGACTATGGCTTCAGAACTGGCTCTTGCTTCAATCCCCTTTACAATGTGATGAGCTGAGCGCAAATAGATTTGCAAGCTCAGGATTTTGTAGGAAGATAAAATCTACCTAGAGATCCTCATAGGCTCCTAAAATATGAGAGGTTGTTTTGCCTTGTTTGGGGTTTGGTGTGCTGTGTGTTTTTTGAAACAGGATCTCTCTCTCTCTCTCCCTCTCTCCCTCCCTCCCTCCCTCCCTTCTTCCCTCCCTCCCTCCCAACCTCCCTCCCCTCTCTCCCTCCCTTCCTCCTGCCCTCCCTAGCTGGTCTAGTATTTGCTACACAAGTCCAGGTCAGATGATCCTCCTGCCTCAGCCTCCTGAATGTTGGGATTACAGGTATGTGCTATCATGTCCAGGTCTAGAAAGGTAAGGGAGATGTTTAAGTGTCTTCCTCATCCTCCTCTTCCTCCTCCTCCTTCTAGATTTTATTTTATTTGGAGCAGGGGATGAGACAAGTACCAGAAGAGAGCATCCATCTCTGGGGACTGGAATTACAGCCAGTTGTGAGCTCCCTGATGTGAGTGCTGAGAACTGAATTCAGGCCTCTACAAGAGCAGTGCACAACCGTAGCTGCTGAGCCACCTGTCTCTCCAGTCTTTGACGCACACACTGTAAATGTGTGGGCTTAATGTAACATGGGATTTAGTATGTCCTCGTTTGCTCAGCATTTACTGGGCACCTGTCAGGTGTTAGGCACATGTTAGAGGTAAGAAGAAAAGATTCAGCAAGACCCTCACAAAACCTGCAGTCCAGTGACAAGAAAGAAGAATGAGCATTTGTGTTGTAAGTTTTCTCCCTTTGTGATATGCCTCTTAGACTCACTGACATGTGATTACATCTGTGTTCCATGTATGAACAGCCTTTGAGCATTTATGTCCCTTTCATATATATGAGTCTTATATTACATCTTATAGAAAAGCTTTCTCTTTTCTGTAGTTCGTATTGTTATTGTTTGAGACAGGGTCTTGCTGTGTAGCCCAGCCTCACTTTAAAGTCACAGTGATTCTCTTACCCCGGCCTATCAAGTCCTGAGACCATGAGCTGTGCCAACATGCCTGTCTGAGAAACAACTCTCTTGATTTTCCAGTGAAGTGTTTAATCTTTTTTTTTTTTTTTTTTGGTTTTTCGAGACAGGGTTTCTCTGTGGTTTTGGAGCCTAGCTCTTGTAGACCAGACTGATCTCGAACTCACAGAGATCCGCCTGCCTCTGCCTCCCGAGTGCTGGGATTAAAGGCGTGCGCCACCACCGCCCGGCCGAAGTGTTTAATCTTGATCGTACAACAGAGGTGTGATATACTCAAGATGGAGGTTTTCTTGTCTTCTTTGTGCATCCTCCAGCCTGGCTCCTCCTCCTCATATCACCCAGTACATCCATCCAGCTGTCTCCTATCTGAAGGTTTACTCGGCCTCACCCATGTATCCAAGCAGTCGCTAAGTCCCGGAGAGCTTGTCTCTTTAATTTCTCCTTATCTCTGTGCCCAGTTCAAGGCCTCATCGTTTCTTTCATTTCTTGGAAGTCAGAAGGCCTCTGACCTCACTTCCTTCAACCCATTCTCCATGTAGCAAGCAGAAAGAATTTTCCAGAATACTAGTATATTCTGACTAATATTTTTTTTTCTTGATGTACAGGCAACTTTCCTGCCAGATGGGCTGATTCCTGAGCGCTTTGCTTCCTCTCTCTGGATAACTCATTCTTGTTGCTCCTCTTCCTCCTTATCTAGCTAGCTGAGCTTCTCGGTTTTTGGATCTAACACATATCCCTCTTCTTGGAAGACCATCCTCTGTGATTCCTTAGTTAGCCACTTCTATCATCATACTGTTCTTCTGTAGCCATCAACTTACCTGTCCCACTCATCGATCTAGAAGCACTTTGAAGTCAGACCCCGTGTCTTATTCTTTGATTTCCTCCTGAAGAACATAACAGATATTTTCCTAATAAAACACTTAAAAAAGAAAAGTGCCTCCATGTAGATGGGAGTTCTCACTCTCAGGGAAGAGGATCAAAAATCTTTCCCGGTGCCAGACCCATGGAGTAGCAAAGCCTTCCCAGGTGGGGCTCGGAGGGATGGCAAAGGCTTTCTCTGGTTATAGTTCGGATGCCGTTTATGTAGGAACTATCTATCAACCATAGCTTCCTCCTCCAGGATGGCTGCCATCTGGGGCTGCTCCCTACAGAGCCTTTCTATCAAGATTTACTAATTCTGCTCCCTTATTCAGCTGTGAGTCACAGACCAGCCTCCTTAACCAGAGCATTTGCTTCCTGGGTTGCTGTTACAGTTGTGCTTGGTGTCTTCCATCAGAGCACGTCATCCCACTGGATCCCAGATTTTCTGTACATATGTCTGTGTGTCTGTCCTACCTTCATTTTCTCATCACCCCAGTCAGACATTTTCTCAGCACTCAGGAAGCTAAGGAGGGAAGGTCTTGAGTTCAAAGCTAGACCGGACTTCATAAAAAGACCCCATTTCAAAACCATAACAAAACCTCACTCTGCAATGAAATAGAGATGGATTTGGTTTCTTTTTAAACATCTGTTTCATATCAACAGAATTGTGAAATGTTTATTTTATAGATTTTACTATTCTGTGAATTGAAAGTAAGCCATTGTATATGCTAAGAAAGTGCTCTACCAGAGATATATAGTCCTTAATGGTCTATGTGATGGAGAGATTATTCAGTGGTTAAGAGCACTATTCTTGCAGAGGACCCAGGTCTGATTTCCAGCACCTACAAGGTGGCTAATAACCACTCTAATTCCAGTTTCAGGGGATTCAATACCCTTCTCTGTCCTTCCAGGGTACTGGGCATGCTCACACGTGGCATATACATACATACATACATACATACATACATACACACATATTCAGGCAAACATTCATATACATAAAACTGAATCTTTTTTTTTAATGAGACAGAGTCTCATTATTTATCTCTGGCTGTCCTGGAGCTCACTCTGTAGAGGAGGCTGTCCTCAAACTCACAGAGATCCACCTGCCTCTGCTTTCTGGGTGTTGGGATCAGAGGTGCATGCCACCATGCCCTGAAAAAATAAATCTTAAAAAAAAAAATTTAGTAGGCAGTTGTTAGCTGGTTGATGTGGGTGCTGGACACCACATCTGGACCCTCTGGACACCACATCTGGACAACACATCTGGACCCTCTGGCAGAGCAGTATGAACTCTCAACCACTCAACCATTTTTCAAGCTCTTAATAATTTGTTTTTTATTTTGAAACAGGACCTCACTAGATTGCCCGCTTGCTTAAAAATCGCTCTGCAGCCCAGACGGGCATTCAGTTTGTGATTCTGCTATCTTAACCTTTAGTTGTGATTACAAGCCTGTGCCTCGAGGCCCAGCTCCAGGAAGTTTGGTTTAGTCAATATTTCCGTCAGTGACCTTGTTCACTGCTGTAACTGAGACGTCCAACAAGTGCACTCTAGCAGAACACTAAAGCTGACATTTCTTTGTCATTTGAAACAGGACCCCTTGAATTCCCGGCTGTGCAACTGAGGGTGAGTTTGGGGGTTAC